ACAACAGCTTTTGTTGGAAGTTCCTGGTGATGCTGGTTGTTCAAATGAAAAGGTAATTAGTGTCAAGTAGAATTTTGCGCAAGGCGTGTATTTTGGGATAAGTCCCGGGAAAGTTGACGTACCTTGTCTTGGGCAACCCGGCAATGTTCCGCCTACATGGGTATCGTTGACCGATTCACTTGTTACGAAGATTGTCGTACCGTGATTTGTTATGTTCAGTTCGAACTCAGATGAGTGTATAACATATAATACCGGTAGAATGTGCTTCCTACTCGGCCCACGTTTGACGGATCAACTCCCCGGACATTGTCTGTCGGACTAACCAAATTGAACGGCTCTTAAGCTCAAGGGAAGAATCGTGAACATAACACAGAGCACAGTGAATTTGTGCTTTTGACAATCCTTCGATCAATTCACGAGTCATAGCAGCTGTTACCTAGTTGTTTGCACGAAGGGCCAGCTGGTCTCGTGAAGTATACTTGTGACCTCCCAGCACCTTGAGACTGTCTGAGGGCTGTTACATTCATCCATACACATTGTTTACTCTGAGACATACGATTTTCAATCATGCGTTTTCTTAATCCCTTTCCAAAATTTTTATACCGTTATCTGTACCTGTGTAAATGAACACAAACAACCACGTCTGTTTTTTGGTATAAGTTCTTCTTATCTGGACTGTTTCACAAGGCAGTTTAACTGGCTCAAGAGTCCTGGAAAGTTGCACCTCACTTCTAGTCTCATTCCCATGTGGCACTATCTAATTCGTTTTCCTTGATTATTCATCATTAATCCGTGCATTTGATTTTCCTGCTTTCTACCTCACCTTACATGTCAGGCACGAGGCCGAACGTCTAGAACAAGAAGCTCGTGGTCGTTTAGAGCGTCAAAAGATTGAAGATGAAACTGCAGCAGAGGAAGTGCGTCGAACATTGCTCGAGACTCGCGTCCAGTTAGCCGCATTGGAAAGCACTGGACAAGCGACCGCTGAGGCTCAAAGTCGTGCGGATGCTGCTCGCATCGAAGGACAGTCGGCAGTGGAATTGGCCAAACTACACGCTGAGGCTGGTGAAATCGACGCGGTACGTATACTAGTCTGAAGCGCTAGTCTCGACTTGTTTTACTGAAGCAATCTTGTAGGCATTTGAATGCAGTTCTGCGCGTATGCCTAACCATTCTTTGTAATTAAGTTTGTTCGTAATTTCCTTTTTATGAGACGCAAATGGAAGTTATCTCAATTCAGTTTCAAACGTGAGATGAGTGAATATTTAGAGAATTTGTGTCCTAATTCCACATTTCTTTTCTATGCTCTCGAAATCTGGCCAGGATGCGGAATTGGAACGGCTGCGCAAAGCTCGCGAGGCTGAATTGGAATTTATGCGTCAGAAAGACTCACTGAAAATTGCTCAGTTGAACGAGGAGATGAAGATCGAAGTAACGCGTTTCACATCTATGGTCAGTGCCATCGGACCAGACAATTTGCGACAGATTGCCAAAGCTGGACCGGAGCATAATTTACGTATGTTAAGTGCCCTCGGTTTGCAGAGCACTCTGATCACAGATGGCACGACCCCGGTGAACCTGCTGAGCACAGCCCATGGACTAATCGGACAATTAACACGTCAGTCGGGTGAAACAGACAAAGAAGATCATCGATCACGAGCGTTGTCAGATGACGGTGCCTCTGCCTAATCGCGTTCTTATTTGACACAGTCTTTTGTGATATGTTTTATGCACATTGCGCCTTGCTTTAATTTGACCATTTTTCTACTCACCTATCTATTTCTCTGTTTTTAAAACGCCCTGTACTGGACTTAGCAAATCACCCAGGGTCACTATAATATGAACGTGTTTTGGAGTAGTTCAAGCGCAAAGCTGTCTGTTATCGTAATAATGACTTTCAAGCCTTGTGACAGTATTATGTGGGCATTGACGAGGTCCGATGCGCGGTTATCGGGTTTCGATAGTCATCATCCAACAGAAACGATGCAACCTTGACTATGGTCTATGTACCTATAGTGCATTCCTATCCATCACCTAGTATAGTGATCGTTGTTTGGACCCTCGAATTTTGGCTGGAAGAGGCCAGTCGGGGTATGAATAAAATATTGATGACATTTGCCTGGGTAGGTCCCTTCCGGTCGTCTACTTTAAGGCCTGAATGGGGAGGAATGTTTATGGACAGATTTTTCTAAGTGACTGTTGCGTCGTTCCCGATCAGTCACAATGTAACACAGAACAAGATATCACACGATGACGCCCAGGATAACACACGGAAGGACGATGCACAGTGACAGAACGGCGTAAGACACAATGTACCCGAATCGGAGTCGATGCACACAACACAACACAATGATAGTGGCACCCACTACCGACAATGAACGACGAAACACAGACTGGACACTCACGAACGGCGCGCACGATATCACGGAGCGCGAACGCACACAGAGACACGAGGTAGGTCTGAATAATACGGAGCACGTACCTCAACGGCCACTAGTCGTCTAGCTCCACGAGTACGATCACAGCGCAGGTTGGACGCCATGAGCACTAGTAGCCTTCTCCCAGCTACGTAAGCAAGAACACAGATGGTTGGCAGCGAACATGTACTTGACGCACAAAAAGCAAGTCAAATGTACGGTGGAAAAATTAATTGCTTACGTACTGTTCTGGCCTCCGGACACAGAGACTTTGAGAGTTGATGCAAGAAATGAGAAATGGGTGTGGACGATTAGCACAAAAAATCGCCAAAAGAATTTTAGATTATAAAAGAAATTGAAAATACTGGAAAAATAGGCAGCTTTAGGTAAACATAGTCTTTTTATGTAACAGAGACGTATTGAGTGGCCTGAGTGTTGTATCTGTCCGTTGAGAATAACCATGATACCTATATAAAAACAGGCTCAACTGAATTGCCTGAGAATTTATGTTTGAAGTTCAAGATACAGTATGTAAATGGTGATATAACCAAATGTACGGGACCTTGACCCTACAGGAGAATACGGAAAATAGCTAGGGGACTGGTGAGTGGGGTC